AACCCCTACCTTGTGAGAGAGGTTATCAAGAGGTAGAGAGGCCCTGGCATTGTGCTGCAGATGAGGGAGGTACAGCTTTGGCTGCTGGAGAATCTGAGCCAGCTGTGTGTTTCCCAGTCTTTGCATGGGATATCTGAGTTTGAGGTTGCAGTCACATTGCAGGCCAGGCTGCAGTTACAGTGGCTTTTGCGTGATGAGTGATGCAGTGGAAGTACAGCCTTTCTCAGGCTGATGCTTAATGAAAAGCTTTGTCATGTGCAGGTTACAAGCTTCATGGCACAGTGCAAGTTTCTGCAGAAAATGCCTGCAACAGCACTTACTGCAATTGCAATGACATTGTTGTGGCTATAGTTGGTCTGGAATAATCAGTCGTAAATAGAATTTACTACTGGCCTATCCCCACCGTCTGCGCTAACAGCAGAAGCCACAACGTATTGCAGCTGATTTGTTTGTGTTTTATATTGAGCTCATGAATTAACTAGAGGACAATGTTGACCATTTTCTGTGTTAAAATGTAACTAGGAAAATGGCATAAAGGCATAATTTGCCTTAAAGGGAACTACTTATTTAGGTTATACAAAACATGAGACTGCAGTAGCAGCATTGAAAGCTCTTTTTGGTCAATAGGTTATCTTATAACTGAACACGACTTAGAATTTTTTTCCAAGTCTGAGGGAAAAATTCTTGAGAGGCAAATGAGCTGAAGGACACAGATGAGTGAACATGCTGTGATTTTTTATTTAATTGCTATTTCTTCAAATGAAATATATGCATTTTGCTTTGCAGTAATAGATTCATTGTAATGATTAATGTCTCCAGACCTTTCTGTGATTATTTATCACTTAAGAGTGTGGTTGCAAGTAACAGTTTGTTAAAAGAAACAAGTGATGGAACATTAGCAGCCTCACCAAACAGTAAAAAATTTAGTTAATAATAACCTATGCTCTTGTAACAGCCCCTTCTACCTGACATGCATTTTCCTCTCTGTTCATTAGCAGACATTTAACTTTCAGAGTATACTGCAAAATCAACCCATGTCTGTGGGAGAAGACAATCACAGGTCCCTATTACATTTTATTTTTTAGTTTTAGTTTTTCCACGTGTGGCTTCCAGGATCAGGCAGAACTACTGGCAGCATTTCTTGGTTCAGGCTTTCTGGTGTGCTGATGATATGACCTTTAAGAGCCATTGTCCTGTGATATGGCAAGGTTGGGTGTATTCTGGTTGAAACTGGATGTCTAGATAATTGCTGAAGGCTTTGTGAAATTCCTATGTTAAAACACAAATGTTAGAGGAATGACATTTTCTAATGCTTAGTATGTTAGAGGAATGATCTTTTGCATCTACAGAACATGAAAATAAGAAGATAATCTTTCAAAACTAGAAGTAAAAAATAGCAAATGTGCACTAATTTTTTTTTTCTTTTTCTTTTTAATTTAATGTGAAGCCATTATTTTAACATAAATAAACTGCCAGGATCTGTAATGCTAATTAATGGAAATGAGGCTGTACTTCCCTGGAAAGTTACCTAAAAAGCTGTATTCTAATTTTGGCCTTGCTTTTACAAAGATGCCTGCATGGGCTTAACCTTATGCCACTGAAGCTCACACCACAGCCATAAATCTTTGTAAAAGGACTTTGTAAGACCCTTCTAAACACAACTAGTGGTGATATCATTATAAGTGACAAAACTTTCCTGTAACTAAGAAACTCTACACACCAGTAAATCAAAACATTTTAAGTATTTATTGTCTTCTAGAAAAAATAATGTCAGTTATGTACACTGGATTGAAATTGGACTTAGGAAAGTATGGCTCAGATCTGTGTGTGGTCCTCCTTCCCTTCCCACACAAATAATAAATACGCGGGTATTTGTCAAATATTTTCTGACAACAACTGTTATTCTCTAATATGTACTCAGTTGCTTACAGAAAAAAAACTGACATGAAATGCATCTTTCATAATCTGTTCAGAGACAGCAGTTTTCACCTACAATGCTATATATATTTGTTTTGAAAACAATGAATAGGCCAGAGCTATGAAACAGCTACGATTCAATGCTTTTAATGCATTAGAGGTATTAACAAGCTGGAAAACAGGTGAACACATTTTACACTTCATCAACCATTTCTCCTGCTTTTCTTAGAGATGGAACATCATGAAAGAAACAGCGCAATGAATAATAAGATTATTTCCACACTGAATCAATACATGAAACTACAAGTTTCTCCATTATATTCCAAGCATGCCTGATGCTGTGGCTGGGAAACCTGCCCTGCCAATTGCTTATCATCAAAGTAATCTTTCATTTTGCAAAGAAAGTAAGTAAAAATAATTGTTATTAGGAATAACAGGTGAGATTCACTTGTACTTGCTTGGAAAAGCTAAATTCTGTTTTTCCAGCCAACTGTTTGCCTGTGTTTCTGAAGACTCACCCAGTGATATGTGGGGTGTGTTCACCATCAACAGGAAGCAGCTGCCAGTGAGGTCTCATGCCTTTTGGACCAGGGCATGTTTGACATAATCTGGATCCTATGGTAAGTGAAATACTATAAAAAATGGAGTGACTTCTCCTTGGCTGTACTGCTTAAATAAAAATAGTTCCTGGGATCTACAAAGTACTAAAACATTGGGAGGGATTGTTTTACTGATGATTATTTATTATATGTCTTATTATACATGACAATTAATACTGATTAATCCTGAAGAAAAATATACCTATCATACATATTGCAACTATTCCTACTAGCATTTCTTTGGAAGTAGTTGTTTGTTTGGTTGTTCCTTTTACTTTGTTTTCCCTCCCACATGTGATCACACAGTTGTTTGCAGGGCTGCTGCTGCTGGCTGGGTTTAGAGTAAGTCATTGCAGTATTATTTGGGTGGGGAGGAAAGAAGGACCACACACAGATCTAAACCATACTTTGATAAGTCAGATTTCAATCCAGTTTACATTACTGACATTTTTTTTTTTCCTGCAAACAATAAACACTTCAGTTGCTTTGATTTACTGACATGTAGCATTTCTTAACTATAGGGAAGTTTTATAACCTATAATGACATCATGACTTCCCCATAAACAGAAAGGTTGAAACCCTCTTCATCATGATACTTGTATGGCTTCTGACATCAGGAAGTGCCTCTCAGCCTGAACTAATGTACCCTCACAAGAACCTTAAAGCATGCCAGGAGCATCAATGCTATTGAACAGAGAGGAAACTGGAGCACACTGGATTGTACTTGTACCCGAAGTGGATTGAAGCTCCCCGTACATATTTGGTTTGGCAGAGGAAGTTGGTGTAGTGGGCACTGCTACATGCCAAAGGATGCCTGCAATTTGGAGGTGGCAGGCAGACACCTGAGTACCCCCTGTATTCCCATCAGGTGTGACCAGTTCACACGTAACACCTTTTGCAGAGGGGAAAGGGATGGATTTCCCTGCCTCCACCTTCAGCTTGTGGGGGTTCACTTTTTCAGTGGGTTGGAGACGATACATTGGAGATTACAATACTGGGGTAAACTGATTTTAAACACAGCTCCTCTGTCATTTCTGATGAGAGTGGGAAGTACAGAGAGAGGAAGGCAAGTTTTATAGGTCAAGGAAGAAGAGAAAATTGTCCAAAGCAAAACAAAAACAACAAAGGAAGAAAAAAGCCCAAACAAACCCACAACAAAACAGCTGTATTTGTTTGCAGCAAAAGGTGTGGCTGGTAAGACAGACTGTTGTGTTCTGGGACAGTGGGTGTTTCTTCCTGCCACGGTCCACCTTAGAAATACTTGAAAAAAACTGAGGCTGACATCAACAAAGGTCAAACAGTGTCTACTGGGGTGTTGAAGAAGGGAGTATTTGTTGTGATGAGACATTAGCATCACAGGCACTGAGCTGCTCAGTTATCAATGATCATCTTCAGGCACAGGAAAGTGCACAATTAGCACAAACTGTTACCAGTATTTTCCTTTGCGAGCCAGCATAACTTCTTGCTCAAGTTCAGCTGTAAGACAGCTGTTTTTCCATAAGCTAGTTTGAAGATACTACTCTATTTTTGTGACAGTCATATAGTTAATTATAGCAACAGTTAGGTAAAGCCCTGTGTCATCTCCACATGGCTGATACCATGTCTGCTGACCAGTATCTTGTACCTGACTGAAGAGACAAAGTCCAGTGAAATCTTAGGACTCTTTGGGTGAAGAACCCAGCAGTTTCAGGGTCATTCACTCCCTGCTCTGCACAGTCTTCTCAAGAGGACTCACCATTTTTTTCTGAAGTACTACAAGTCTTTCTCACTTTAAGTCAGGCTACAAGATTCAGTTTCTGAAATATACTTCCCCTCCTTCCAAACAGTACATTTCAAAATAAGAAAATACCACAACAATCCACTAACCCTGAAGGAACAAAGATTTCTCTGCAACACACCATCTTTAAACATAACTTGTGGAAGTTGTGGGTGACAGTGTTCAGGGCCAAGTTGGATGGGGCTTTGAGTATCCTGGTCCAGTGGGAGGTGTCCCCGCCCATGCAGGGAGGATTGGATCTAAATGATCTTTAAGGTCCAACCTTCCAACCAAAACCATTCTGTGATGCTACAGTCATCATCAAGTATTTACCTGCCACTAAATGGAACTATCAACCCACTCAGTGTTCCCCACAATGAGAACATAGGCTCAGGTCTTAATTTCAGGTTAGAGGAATTAAAGGTTTGCACATTTTGTGCAAGTGCAAAGGAGGCACAGAAGCCTGGTGTGGAGAGGATAAAGTAGTTTTGAAAATATTTTCAAGAGAGAAAACAGACCTTGGTTTAAAAAGGACAGAGGTGATGAGCTTGCTTTTTTTCTTTTGCTTTACAGACCATAAATTAAACTGATAGCAATTTTAGCCAAAGTAGCCCTAACCTAATATTTTCCAGTAAGAACATTATGTAAAATTACAATATTTGCTCTTTTATTTTGCAAGAACGAATAGTAACCAAGCACATAAAAAGTAAACCATACTGACTTGCTCAATGAAGACGGCTGACAAGGGTTCTGCGAGTGGCACGGGGCTGCAAGGCAGACGGCAGCTCATCCGTTCCCCCGGACCTGGCCGTGTCTCAGCTCCTGAGCTGCAGCACAGACAGCTGGTCGCTCTCCCGCTGGTCACCGACACCCACAAGCATCACTACCGGGCTGATCACCTTCCTCCTTGCAACGCCCCGAAGGGGAAAGGCTCTGGAAAGCAGCGCCAGACCCACCGACACCCTCTTGGCTGGGATCTGCCCAGCCCTGCGACCTGGGGTTGGCACCTGCCTGCCTTGTAGGGAGGTGCTCGACCTGTCCGAGCTGCTGCCCGAGGAGAGAGACTTTTGGGAACGCTCCTGGTGAGGGCCCATCCTCCCCGGGGAGAAAGACTCCCCCCCTCCCCAGGGGGGCTTTGCCAGCCCTGGCGGGGACGGGCACCGGGCGAGCCGGGTCACCCCCCTCCGGAGGGGTTTTGTGGCCCCCGCAGCCGCGTGTCAAGAGTAAAACCGAACCGATGACACCAAAACAAGGAGGGGGAGGGAAGGACAACAAGAAAACAAAACAAAAAAAAAAGGCTGCGTGCGGGGCCGGTGCCGCGGGGAGAGGGCCGGGCCGGGGCGCTGCGG